ACTCCATGCTCTGAAACTCTCTGTCAATCCCCTCTCAATGCTTCCATTATACAAAACAATCAATCATATCACAATTTATGAAAACTTGTCCAGTAACAATATCATGTTTGGAGACAAGGTGATGGCTTTGATTAAATATTGGAGGGAAAGAAATTACCATGTGTTCATGATTGGAAATTTTGTTAAACTTTGATCACCAGGTTGGGGTCTTAGATTCACCAAATAAAGGAAATTATTTTCTTCAACTGTGAAAGTGCAAGGCACAATCTTAGTTGAGAAGTTGATTGAAGCAGGCAATGTTATATTCTCAGTTTTTTAACAAGATGATAATTATGAGGTCAATTGTATTGGTGAACGTTATCCATGGCAACAAGAGAAGCCAAGCAACAAATCACTTAATTCAAACCCATTGAATGAAGAGGAATAAAACAAATCTCATGGAATTAGAGAGAAAAATTTTCAAAGCGCCTCACATTTCTTCCATTGAGGTGTTTGTCCTAGGCATTGAAAGTATACCATCATTCTTAAAGCAGCCACAAGCTACATGGACCATGACAAATCTATCTTGATATGCAGGACTTAAGATATGAACCCTCTAAAGCTTCACCAGTGATACAAACAGTGCAGCATGCAGTATGCACCTATTAAGCTTATTGAAATAAATGATAGGACATTATCAATTAATTATGTCTACATAGCATAGCACAGTTAAAATATTATCTTGCTTTAGTTACTATAATGCTTCTATAAATAACTGTGCCTTGAGTTTCCTCTTGCATGGGGGATTTTTAACACCATTTTGAGTTTCAAAACATATACTTTGCCATGACTGACTAGTTATGCTTTAAGTCACACTGACCCCTACAGAAACTAATAATCAAAAAGAAAGTCCTGAGTCCTCACTCCTCAAAGTAAACCAAGCACAAGCGAATCTGATCAGAGAATAAAACATAGACTTCTCAAAATTCACCTTTATCACCATTAACCAAAGGAAAATTTTGTCTAAGTGAAAATGATAAGTGATGAATCAAATCTTTCATAATAAGTCTTATCAGCACGATGGGAACCATTAATACTATGGTAAAATAAGGTAACATACTGGACTGAGAATATATTAGCAATTTGTGTTTCTCCCCTGCCCAAAAACTGTAAAACCATTTTGCTAAGTTACATATTTTAATTGTACCATGTCCAGACACCTATTTACCGCAATCCAGCATAGCAGATGATAAAACTATTTATCATGGGGCACAAACAGCAGTCAAGGGAAAAGCATTCATAAAAACCTGTGCAAGCTTACCAGGATTAGGAAAGAACCTTCTACGATCATTTGGGCACGCCAGAAAAAGGGCAATCTCTGGATTGAAGAGAAATAGGCATACCAAGAAAAACCATTCCCTCAGCACACCAGGTCCACTAGCTTCTTCATTTTTGAATTCCATAAATAGACCAGCATGCAAGGTCTCAGGTTCTGCCCGTGCAATGTATTGAAATGATTCTTCCAACAAGTTGGACCTATCAATAAGCATCTCATGCAACCCATCATAACCTTCCTTAACGTCTGGAAACATCATCATTGCCAAATGCCTCCTAGATTCAAAATCAATTACTTCCTTATGCTCAAGAATCCACCTATGATCATCAATTCGCTTAGCAAATCTAACAATTAAAGCACACAATGCAGACTTTCTATGCTTCAAGACCATCCAAAATCGTTCTTCATCACC